GTATTTATCTAATTATTTTAATTCATTATTATAAGCATAGACACATGCTTTGTAGCGCAGTTTTTTCCGTTTTCTGTTCTTCTAGTATTTAACTGTAACAGCTGAAGCATCAGAAGTCTCACTCATTCACAGAAAACAGCTTACTTCCAAAACAAGGCAGATGAAGGCTGTTAGCTTAGCTTAGCTTGTGATTGTTTCTCTTCCATTCAGAGTCAGTGGAGATCAAACTGTTCAGATCCATCATGAGTGAAACACAGACATCTGGAGATGAAGATTTGTTTCCAGCACGCAGGTACTTTGAGAAACACATTACATAACTTACTGACTGTTATAGAAGAGATGACTGTAGATAAAGCCATAAAGCCCCCATAAGAGCTTTTCATTAGTAATACTTTTTGAAGATTTTATATTAAGAGGATTCTCATTATAATGGATTAAATCTGTTCTGTTTTAGTTCAGTTCATCAGAAGAGATCAGAAGCAGAGTCCAGCTGTGTGTCTATGAAGAGTGACGGGTCTATGATTCAGCCGCCAACAATAATGTTTAAGAGTGGAGATACACGGCCTGGTCTCAGGTATAATGTTTGTATAAACATATAAGATTATAGCATGACATTTATATTATCATATATGATCACAGTTCAGTTGACAAATTCTGTATGACGAACTGTAATGTTGTTCTGTTTTAGTTCAGTTCATCAGAAGAGACCAGAAGCAGAGCCCAGCTGTGTGTCTATGAAGAGTGACGCGTCTATGATTCAGCCGCCAACAATAAAGTTTAAGAGTGGAGAATCACGGCCTGGTCTCAGGTATAATGTTTGTATAAAAATATGATTATAACATGACATTTATATTATCATATAGGGGTGGACGATATGACCAAAATCTTATATCACGATATAAGTAACTTTATTTCACAATAACGATATATATAACAATTGTTATTTTTGCTTTTAATAATATGTTTATGATATAAAAACTTTTGATATCATCGAATTGTCATAATTTTTGTCACCAGTGTCAATATCACACAAAAAACTAATTCAATCTCACTGAAGATAAGTAAACAGTCAGTGATGAAATAAGAATAAGAAACTAATTGAAAGCAACAGAACAAACAACTAGAATAAATATAAGAAATGCTACATAAAGTGTATAAATGAATCAGAAGCACTGTGTAGTCTTCACTGTGTAAAGACGGGCATTTTGACACATGTAAGTATGTGTATTTAACTGTTCAAGGCCAATAAAGCAACACTAATTCTCTGAGCAGCGGATTCTTGTGCCTCTCAGACTGCGCTTAGAAACAGACAGCACGTGCGTATAGCGCTGTTGTTTGTGTTTCAATAAAGACGATAGTCCAAAATCTCTACCGGTTGACAAATTTCTATCAGTTAATAGTGTATATCAGTATATCACATGTATTATCATACATTTTATTGCATTTCAGTTCACAATTTTTTTGTATAAACACAGTGTATACAAATATTATAAAGTGCTCTTTAAAGTGAAATTGATCATGATAAATGTATAGTTGATTTGTTGCATACAGTCATTTAAAGGATGAACTTTAATGTTTCTCTGTTTCAGCTCAGTTCATCAGAAGAGATCAGAAGCAGAGCACAGCTGTGTGTCTATGAAGAGTGACGCGTCTATGAAGCCGCCAAATAAGTTTAAGAGTGGAGATACATGGCTTGGTCTCAGGTATAACATTTGTATAAAAATATCAGATTATAGCATGACTGTCGGAGTAGGTTTCTGCAGAAAGCACACAACGCAGGACATTAGAAGAAACAAACCGTTGATTTCCAGCAAGGTTCTGAGCACACAGGGGTAACTAAAGTAGACCACAACCACATTAGCATCAATGACAGAACAATGAACAGACGGAAATCAGGGTTTAAATACACAAAGTTAAACAAGCAAACTGAATGAACAACAGCTGACTTTAATTAGGGACTAACAGGCACACACTGGGAAACTGGTGCTGTGTTTGAAATGTCATACTATCATAATACTCATAATATTTCTGCTGTATCCAGCATGTACTGTATACTGTGCATAGTATGCAAACTTTCTGTACGCATCGAATACCCAGATGATCTACTATATTTCCCAGAATCTGCAAAGATATTAAATAATGCAAAGGTATTAAATAATAATAATATTGCAGTGAAATAATATTTAAAAACATAATATATAAATGAAAATAATATTTCAATTATGTAAACAGACTTCAATCTTTAAAAAGAAATGGGAGTGTCTATTTACTTTAAGTGCAAATATCCCAATTTGTTGGCAGAGGATATTTACATTAACTCCGCCCAGCAATGTCTAGTTGGTATAAACAGCACTACAAAAGATGCACATTCACCTGAAGTATCCGTGGCATAGGGAGTAAAACCTGAAGCAGTCGTTTACAAGTATGAACTCTTATTAACAAGACTTTGTAAAAACAACAGTTAGCACATTTATTTGTAAGGTAACAACCTCGACAGCTGTGCTGAATCAATGTTTGTCATGTGACATCTCTGTAGCATACTACTCTGAAACATTACTTGTTGCTTATTGTATACTGATTCACACACTTTTCTTTAACAAAAATAGTAGGCAGTATGCACTGTGTACTGGGCAGTAAGCTAGTCAGTCTCTCCAGGATTTCTCGGGACTTTTTTCTGACTTTTGCAGCCTACAGTGACTGATTTTGTGGCAGCATTTCTTGTGTTGTTTTGCAGTGAAAATATACCACAGACAACATTGTTCTAACATTTTTATTACCTTTCTGACCTCAAGATTCACTGGGTTCTTTAATTTATAAAAAGAGAACACTAAAAAATTAAAATAAATATTTATCATATATCATACATGAATTTCTAAGGACTCTAAATTATCAACATTAAAAATCTCTACAACATGATCAAAATCATTAGAAAAATCATGTTAAAATCTAACAAGTAATGATACAACAGTGTTTTGAGGAACATTTATTTGTTCATCCCGCAATCATTGTAGGCGTACTGAATTGCACAACGTTATAACAAATCACAGAGGCGTGAATGAATGTACGCTTGTCACCTGATCCACAAATGCACATTTTCCTGATCCACAAATACACATTTTAATCGCTACATGCACAAATTATGATACTTTAATACAAACTATAACATTTGTATTCACAAATA